TGGTTTTGCCATGTTGGCCAGGCTGGTCTTGAACTCCTGACCTCAAGTGATCTACCCGCCTCAGCCTCCCAAAGTACTGGGATTACAGGCGTGAGCCACCATGCCCTGCCATTTTTGTCTGCTATTTGATTCTTAATAATCCAACCTTGCCAATAAGCCAGTTGGAGTCCTCTAACCCAGAAGATCTAAGCAATATTTCCCCAACTTCCATGACTAATCCAGAAAGACATACAAAATCATGAAATGGTATTGCCATTAATGTATTCAATATTTAATTTCTAATTACTTCAAAGCATCCTCACCTGCCATTCTCTCCATAGCAATACAATTGGAGATCAAATCCTATTTCCCTTATCTGGGATGCTAAGAGGACTGTTCTGAGTAAATAAAAATGAATGCCTTTTTCTTACTTTTTTTCAGATACCTCCATTCTCTCCCTCTCTACCCCAGCCTCTCCTCTAACAAACTCCCTTGTCTCAGAGACCCATCATAAAAAATGACTTGGCCTATATTAGAGATTTTGGGGATTGGGGAGGTAGGAATGATAGCTTCTGCAGAAAGAACAATAAGATCTGCTAAAGAATTCCCCCCAAAAAGTGGTGACTGTATACTCAGAAGGACATGTTAGATGGACGTTCTCTGCCTTTCGTCAGTAGCTACCCCAGATAATGAGCTGGCTGGGCCTGAATATCATCTGCAGAGTTAACCTCCTCCCCCTTAATGGGCGGGGTGTGGGGAAAGAGGGATTAAAGTCAACATATGCACTGAGAACATAAATAAAAGACATCTAAAATGATACTTGGTTCCTCTATCATTAAAGTAAGGCTCCGAAATCCCACACATAACAGCTTCTTGTTAGCACCTGGTTCCCAAAGGGACTCAGAAAAAATAAAAACATTGCAAACAGGAAACAATTATTTGACAGCAGATAGAACAATTTCATCATCACCCTTACCTAGGCTACTCCCCCTCACATTTCCCTGTCATCCCCAACAGCCCAGAATATTCTCCAATCTGAGAAGTGTTCAGTATCAGACCTGTGGAGAAAATCTAGCTAAGGTGGCCAGTAGCCAAGGTTAATTTCCAAACTGATATTTTTGCCTATAAATCTCTAATAACCAATTCTGTTTGTTAAATATGGTTTTGGGAGTTAAGTTTTCAGTCTATTTTGAGACCCAAATGATTCTGCTCCTCTGACAACACTGCAGCAAATTACTTCACTAATCAAGGTAAACAGAACCATGTTAACTGTCAGGTTTTTTTCCAAATTAAAAATGCATGTTTTCCCCATGACTGCTAATTAAGAAAACCATATTCTAAACAGTCATTCGAATGTTTACTTGGCACATCTCCCTCTGGTTTATTCTAATTTATAACAAAGCAAGCAAGTCTAGAATGATGAGGGCCCAGTTTCAAAGGCAATAACCTCTGTAATGTAACCTGTTCATAACCTTTCTCTCTCCACCCATATTCCCTTTCTTTGGGAAAAACTCCATGCTGACATACAAAGAAAACCCAGCAGGTGGCCGGGCGCGGTGGCTCACGCTTATAATTCCTGCACTTTGGGAGGTCGAGAAGGGCAGATCACCTGAGGTCAGGAGTTGAGGACCAGCCCAACCAACATGGAGAAACTTCGTCTCTACTAAAAATACAAAATTAGCCGGACATTGTGGCGCATGCCTGTAATCCCAGCTACTCGGGAGGCTGAGGCAGGAGAATCGCTTGAACCCAGGAGACAGAGGTTGCGGTGAGCCGAGATGATGCCATTGCATTCCAGCCTGGGCAACAAGAGCGAAACTCCGTTTAAAAAAAAAAAAAAGAAAAGAAAAAGAAAACCCAGCAGTTAAACACTTTCCAAAAGTGGGCAGAGGAAGTGGAGGCATAGTGGGAGAGAAAGGAAGAAGACAAAGTAGCCAGAATCTTTGGTTCTTTATGGCACTGATAGTTCTTATTCCCTTTGTCAACACACACTGAGTACCCTATAAGGCACAAAGCTCCGTAACACACCAAGCTTAAGGAAACAGAACAATTTACTCATGCCAGATCAAAAGAAAATAAAACTAAACATCATCATCAGCATTTACCTCCAACCCCCTTTTTGTTGCACGTAAGAGGATAAGATATAAGGTCCACAGAAAAGCATAATGTGTCCTAAATGACACTTAGAAAATTCAACAAAGTTTGATAAAATTAAAGAGTCTAGGCTGGGCTTGGTGGCTCATGCCTGTAATCTCAGCACTTTGGGAGGCCGAGGCACGCGGATCACCTGAGGCTGGCAGTTTGAGACCAGCCTGACCAACATAGAGAAACCCTGTCTCTACTGAAAATACAAAATTAGCTGGGCATGGTGGCACATGCCTGTAATCCCAGCTACTTGGGAGGCTGAGGCGGGAGATTCACTTGAAACCAGGAGGTGGAGATTGCGGTGAGCTGAGATCACGCCATTGCACTCCAGCCTGGGCGACAAGAGCAAGACTCCGTCTCAAAAAAAAAAAAAAAAAAAGAGAGAGACTGAGCTTGACATTACATAAATGTTTGGAAACAAGTTGTTCTGACAAGAGAGTACCCTCCTCACTATAATTTTATAAAATCCAGTCAGAGCAAAGTTTATATCTCAAGACCAGAGTTTCAAAGCCCCCATAAGCCTTTTTCTGGCCACTTCCCAGCACTGTGGAAACACAGCCTGGATTTTGGTTTTATATATACTCCTCCCACATAAACAAGTTTTCTTTCCTTTCTAGTGTGTTTTTTTTTTTTTTTTAATGGAGTTTCACTCCTGTTGCCCAGGTTGGAGTGCAGTGGCGCCATCTTGGCTTACTGCAACTGCCGCCTCCGGGTTCCCAGCAATTCTCCTGCCTCAACCTCCCAAGTAGCTGGGATAATAGGCATGTGGCCACCACACCTGGCTAATTTTGTTTTGTTTTGTTTGTTTGTTTGAGATGGAGTCTCACTTTATCGCCCAGGCTGGAGTGCAGTGGCATGATCTTAGATCACTGCAACCTCTGTCACCCGGGTTCAAGAGATTCTCCTGCATCAGCCTCCCTAGTAGCTGGGATTACAGGCGCCTGCCACTTCGCCTGGTAAATTTTTGTATTTTTAGTAGGGTTTCACCATCTGTGCTAGGCTGGTCTTGAACTCCTGACATCATGATCCACCCGCCTCGGTCTCCCAAAGTGCTGGGATTACAGGCGTGAGCCACCGGGCCCGGCCCTAATTTTGTATTTTTAGTAGAGACAGGGTTTCTCCATGTTGGTCAGGCTGGTCTGGAACTCCCGACCTCAGGTGATCTACTGGCCTCGGCTTTCCAGTTCAGTTTTTAAAAACTCTATTTCAGTTTCCTTTTTTTTTTTTTTTGAGACAGAGTCTGGCTCTGTTGCCCAGGCTGGAGGGTAATGGTGCGATCTCAGCTCACTGCAACCTCCGCCTCCCAGGTTCAAGCAATTCTCCTGCCTCAGCCTCCCAAGTAGCTGGGATTACAGGCGGGTGCCACCACGCCCGGCTAATATTTTCTATTTTTTTTGTTTTGTTTTGTTTTTTTGAGACAGAGTCTCGCTCTGTCACCAGGCTGGAGTGCGGTGGCGCGATCTCGGCTCACTGCAACCTCTGCCTCCTGGGTTCAAGCGATTCTCCTGCCTCAGCCTCCCAAGTAGCTGGGACTACAGGTGTGTGCCACTACACCCAGGTAATTTTTGTATTTTTAGTAGAGATGGGGTGTCACCATGTTGGCTAGGAAGATCTCGATCTCTTGACCTCGTGATCCGTCCACCTCCGCCTCTCAAAGTGCTCAGATTACAGGTGTGAGCCACCACGCCTGGCCTAGTTTCCTTTTTCCTTTGAGATACAGTCTTGCTCTGTCACTCAGGCCTGGAGAGCAGTGGTGCAACCACGGCTCAGTGCAGTTTTGACCTCCAAGGCCCAAGGGATCCTCCCACCTCAGCCTTCTGAGTAGCTGGAACCATAGGTGCCTGTCACCATATTTGGCTAATTTTTAAATTTTTTGTAGACACACATTTCTCACTATGTTGCCCAGGCTCATCTCAAACTCCTGGACTCAAGCAGTTCTCCCATTTCAACGTCCCAAAGTGTTGGGATTACAGATGTGAGCCACCACACCCAGCTTATTTCAGTTTCTTACACAAGCATCTGAGCTACAGACACACAATGGATGCATATCTGTCAGACAATCAAAAATTTCTTTTCAGTGATGTGGTGGCATATGCCTTTCATCCCAGCTACTCGGGAGGCTGAGCCCTGAAGGCAGAGGTTGCAGTGAGCCAAGACTGTACCACTGTACTCTAGCCTGGGTGACAGAGTCAGACCGTGTCTCAAAAAAAAAAAAAAGAAAATTCTCTTCAGTGAAATTAACTTAAGGTTGGGCGTTCCTGCTCCTTTGGAAATGGACTATATTCCTTTTCTCTTCCCCAAAGCTTGTCTAACCTCCCTCCCAATTAGTTTTTCCAACAGATACGCATCATAAATCTAAGGGGCATTTTCAGGTCACTTGATGGTATAATTATTAAAGGCATATATATTGGTGGATATATATTAGAAATGTTATCTTAAAATCTTCTGTGAGAAAGTTAGTTATTAAAAAAAAAAATCAACCCACAGCATGCAGTATTCTTTTACTTCTATGCTTAAAGCAATGATGTGAGCTAAGAAATTTGGTCCTTATTCTTTTGGCCCCTCAGAAGAAATGTTCCCTAAATATGGCTTTGAATTTTCCAATTGCACAGAGAACCTTCCTGAGCCCAAGCGTTGCACCCTGCTATAGTTTTCTTCTTAAAGACACTCTTAGTTTTTATGCAATGTTTGTCTTCTGTATATTTTCTTTTTTAAAAGAGGATTAATATGAACACAGTGCAAATTGTGGCCCTTGCATATTAAGATGAAACAGTTTCCATGGAAACTCTAGTGTGAGGCTCTGTGGTCCCTGGGGACCCAGTCACTTGTGTCTCTCTCTCTTCCAGCTCCCCCTCTGTGACTACTACAGCATTTACCTCAGCCACCTCTTCAACCATGGTAAAATCAACTCCACTGGGCTGCTGTCGGGCTATGGCCTCCAGCTTAAGACGGTACTGTTCTGCTTCCTGCTCTTTCTTTAGGAGCTGGTGTCGGTATTCCTGGGCTCTTCGATTGGCCTCCAGGAGTTGTTGCTGTAGTAGCTCTCTTTCATTGCCTTCCTGGAAAAGTAAGCCATGTCACCACCAAGTAAATTCCTGATCAAAAATCATCCAGACAGTAGACAAAAAGATAGGCAGTGCCTCACACCTATAATTCAAGCACTTTGGGAGGCGGACACGGGCAGATTACCTGAGGTCAGGAGTTCGAGACCAATTTGGCCAACACGGTGAAACCCCGTCTCTACTAAAAATACAAAAATTAGCCAGGCATGGTGGCAGGTGCCTGTCATCCCAGCTACTCAGGAGGCTGAGGCATGAGAATCACTTGAGCCCGGGAGGCGGAGGTTGCAGTGAGCTGAGATCATGCCACTATACTCCAGCCTGGGTAACAGAGCAAGGCTGTGTCTCAAAAAGGAAAAAAAAAAAAAAAGATGAAGAAGGGTTCAGGCCTTAATAATTTGGCTTTAAATTTTTTTCATCACTCCTAAAAACATTACCTTGCTTTCCTCCACACTGTTTGTCATCTCTCCTATCCTTGGTTTCTTTGTTAGTGGCAACTTCTCTTCTTCTTCCTCTTTAATTACAGTCTCCTCTGCAACCTGACCAGCAGGTACAGTTAGAACTACAAGTCAAAGGACACCAATTGGAGGTGATGAATGCATAAGAAAACAAAGAAGTTTTGCTTGCTTTTAATAAGAAAATAAACTAAAATATAGTCTACGTTGGGTGCAGTGGTGTGTGCCTGTGGTCCTAGCTGCTCAGGCAGCTGACTGGAGGACTTCTTGAGTCCAGGAGCTCAAGGCTAGCCTAGGCAACACAGCAAGACCCCATGTCAACAAAAAAGCAAAGAAAGAGAAAGTAAAAGGCCAGGCGCGGTGGCTCAAGCCTGTAATCCCAGCACTTTGGGAGGCCGAGATGGGCGGATCATGAGGTCAGGAGATCGAGAACATCCTGGCTAACACAGTGAAACCCGTCTCTACTAAAAAATACAGAAAAACTAGCCGGGCGAGGTGGCGGGCACCTGTAGTCCCAGCTAGTCGGGCCACTGCACTCCAGCCTGGGCGACAGAGCGAGACTCCGTCTCAAAAAAAAAAAAAAGAAAGAAAGAAAAAGAAAATAAAATATATTATTTGATATATTATTTTAAATATCTCTTCGAAGTTTAGAATCAACAGGTAAGGCATGGCCCTTCGGGGAGAAACAAAAAAGATTAATAGAGCACTAAGAACGGCTCAAAAAAGAAGGGTATAGATTTGCAGGCTTGGAAGCCATGCAAGTAAGTCCCAAGTCTGAGGCTCTTATATGAAGGTGTCTGACTCTAGGTCAGCTATGGCCAAGTAGCTTATTAGTTTGCCCAGAAATGGCAGGGAGAGGTGGCTCACACCTATAATTCTAGCATGTGGGGAGGCTAAGGTGGGAGGATCACTTGAGCCCAGGAGTTCAAGACCAGCTTGGGCAACATGGCAAACACGGTCTCTGCAAAAAAATACAAAAAATTAGCCAGGCATGGTGGAGCATGCCTGTAATTCCGGCTACTTGGGAGGCTGAAGTGGGAGGATCACTTGAGCCTGGGAAGTTGAGGCTGTAGTGAGCCAAGAACTCGCCACTGCACTCCAGCCTGGGTGACAGAGTGAGACCCTGTCTTCAAACAAACAAACAAACAAAAAAACTGCAGAAATAATCTGTCCAAAGAAGGCCTGAAGTCTTTATATATTTTTGAGACCTCTAATAAAAGCCAATAGCCATTATCTGTACCTAAATTAATTATCTTCTCATAGATAAGTGAGAGAAGGGTCAACACATACACAACACACATGACACACTACACATCTGTCAGAATGGTTAAAGGTTTTTTTTTGTTTGTCTGTTTGTTTGTTTTTTTGAGACGGAGTTTTGCTCTTGTTGCCCAGGCTGGAGTACAATGGCATGATCTCGGCTCACTGCAACCTCCGCTTTCTGGGTTCAAGCTATCTCCTGCCTCAGCCTCCTGAATAGCTGGGATTACAGGCATGCCCCACCACACCCAGCTAATTTTGTATTTTTAGTAGAGATGGGGTTTCTCCATGTTGGTCAGTCTGGTCTCGAACTCTTGACCTCACATGATCCACCTGCCTCAGCCTCCCAAAGTGCTGGGATTACAGGCGTGAGCCACCACGCCCAGTCTTTTTTTTTTTTTTTTTTTTTTTGAGAAGAACTCTCACTCTATAAGCCAGGCTGGAGTGCAGTTGCACAATCTCAGCTCACTGCAACCTCCACCTCCTGGGTTCAAGCAATTCTTCTACCTCTAGAGTAGCTGGGACTACAGGCGCATGCCATCACACACAGTTAATTTTTGTATTTTTAATAGAGACAGGGTATCTCCATGTTAACCAGACTGGTCTTAAACTCCTGACCTCAGATATTCTACCCGCCTCGGCCTCCCAAAGTGCTGGGATTACAGGTGTGAGCCACCGCGCCAGGCTAAAAGTTTTTAAAAAAGTGATACCAAATGCTGGAGATGTAGACAAAGTGGATTATTCATAAATTGCTGGTGGGAATGTAAAATGGTAAAGCCACTCTAGAAAATAGTTTGGCCGACTTGGAGCGGTGGCTCATGTCCTGTAATCCCAGCACTGTGGGGGGCTGAGGCAGGCGGATTGCCTGAGCTCAGGAGTTTGAGACCAGCCTGGCCAACATGGTGAAACCCCATCTCTACTAAAAATACAAAAATCAGCCGGGTGTGGTGGCACCCACCTGTAATTCCAGCTACTCGGGGGGCTGAGGCAGGAGAATCGCTTGAACCTGGTATGAGGAGGTTGCAGTTAGCTGAGATAGTGCCACTGCACTCCAGCCTGGGTGACAGAGTGAGACTCCATTTGAAAAAAAAAAAGAAAGAAAGAAAAAGAAAATAGTTTGCCAGTTTCTTTCTTTTCTTTTCTTTCTTTCATTTTTTTTTTTTTTTTTGAGATGGAGTTTCATTCTTATTGTCCAGGCTGGAGGGCAATGGCGTGATCTCGGCTCACTGCAACCTCTGCCCCCGGTTCAAACGATTCTCCTGCCTCAGCCTCCTGAGTAGCTGGGATTACAGGCATGTGCCACCACAACCAGCTAATTTTGTATTTTTAGTAGAGATGGGGTTTCTCCACGTTGGTCACGCTGGTCTCGAACTCCCGACCTCAGGTGATCTGCCCGAGTTTGGCAGTTTCTTAAAAAACAAAACAAAACACATACTTACCATATGACCTAGCAATTGTACTCTCGGGCATTTATCCCAGAGAATAGAAAATTTATTTCCCATTTCTTTTTTTCTTGAGACGGAGTCTGGCTCCACCCAGGCTGGATTGGTGTGCAGTGGCATGATGTTGGCTCACTGCAACCTCTACCTCCCAGGTTCAAGTGATTCTCACACCTCAGCCTCCCAAGTAGCTGGGATTACAGGTGCCTGCCACTACGCCTAACTAATTTTTGTATTTTTAGTAGAGATGGGGTTTTGCCATGTTGGGCAGGCTGGTCTCAAACTCCTGACTTCAGGTGATTCACCTACCTTTGCCTCCCAAAGTGCTGGGGTTATAGGCTTGAGCCACCATGCCTGGCCTATTTCCCATTTCTTTTTTCTTTTTTTTTGAGACAGAGTCTCGCTGTGTCTCCAGGCTGGAGTGCAGTGGCACAATCTCGGCTTACTGCAACCTCCGCCTCCCGGGTTCAAGAGATTCTCCTCAGCCTCCCAAGTAGCTGGGACTATAGGCACATGCCACCACGTCCAGCTAATTTTTGTATTTTTAGTAGAGATGTGGTTTCACCATATTGGCCAGGATGGTCTCGATCTCTTGACCTTGTGATCCACCCACCTTGGACCTCCCAAAGTGCTGGGATTACAGGTGTGAGCCACTGAGCCTGGCCCTATTTCCCATTTCTTATCTCCCATAAGAACCTGTAAATAATTATGGTGTTCATAATGCTTTATTTATTTATTTATGTATTTATTTATTTTATGAGACAGAGTCTCACTCTGTTTCCCAGGTTGGTGTGCAGTGCACAATTATGTTTCACAGCAGCCTCAACCTCCTGGCCTCCAGTGACCCTTCAAAGAAGCTGGGACCACAGGCACACACCAGCATGCCTGGCTAATTTTTTTTTTTTTTGTATTTTTTTTTTAGAGATGGGTTTTGTCGTGTTGTCCAGGCTGATTTCAAACTCCTGGGCTTAAGCTATCTGCTGGCGTAGGCCTCCCAAAGTGCTGGGATTATAGGCGTGAGCCACTGTGCCCAGCCAGTTTTATTTTTAGATAGCTGATAGTGGAAGCAACTTAAATGTCCTTCATTGGGTAAATGGTTAAACAAACTGTGATAAATCCATATCATAGAATAATACTCAGCAATAAGAAGGAATGAACTATTGATTCAAACAACTTGGATGGGTTTCAAGGGAATTATGCTGAGAGGAAAAAAGCCAATCTCAAAATCATGTATATTGTATGATTCCACTTATATAACATTCTTGAAATGACAAAGTAGAGGATGGGTGCAGTGGCTCATGCCTGTAATCCCAGCACTTTGGGAGGCCAACGTGGGCGGGCAGATCACCTGAGGTCAGGAGTTCGAGACCAGCTTGGCCAACATGGCAAAACCCCATCTCTACTAAAAATGCAAAAAATTAGGTGGGCATGGTGGCATGTGCCTGTAATCCCAGCAATAGGGGATTTCTCTGTATTATTTCTTAAAACTGTACTGAATCTTTAATGATCTAAAAATAAAAAGTTAAAAATTATATTTAGGTTTTAGGATATATTACGATTATTTTAAAACAGAAGATTTGGCCAGACATGGTGGCTCATGCCTGTAATCACAGCATTTTGGGAGGCCAAAGTGGGAGGATCGCTTGAGTCTAGGAGTCTGAGACCAGCCTGGGAAGCTTAGCAAGAACTCATTTCTATTAAAAAATAATTCGGGGGCTGGGCGCAGTGACTCATGCCTGTAATTCCAACACTTTGGCAGGCTGAGGTGGGCAGATCACGAGGTCAAGAGATCAAGACCATCTTGGCCAACATGGTGAAACCCTGTCTCTACTAAAATACAAAAAAAAAATTTTTTTTTAATTAGCTGGGTGTGGTGGTACACACCTGTGGTCCCAGCTACTCAGGAGGCTGAGGCAGAGGAATCGCTTGAACCTGGGAGGCAGAGATTGCAGTGAGCTGAGACTACGCCACTGCACTCTAGCCCGGTGACAGAGCGAGACTCTGTCTCAAAAACAAAACAAAACAAAACAAAAAAACAAACAAAAAAAAATCGGGAACTCTTTCCTTTTACCTCATTGTACTCTTGAGAGCAAGATGGGTTACCAGTAGCTCTACTGGAGCCACCCACAAAAATTCAGCCAGGGTTCTTGCTCTTGTCATATCTGTTCAAACCAGCATAGTCGGCTGGGCACGGTGGCTCACACCGGTAATACCAGCACTTTGGGAGGCCGAGGTGGGCAGATCACAAGGTCAGGAGTTCGAGACCAGCCTGACCAACATGGTGAAACCCCATCTCTACTAAAAATACAAAAAATTAGCCGGGCGTGCTAGGGAACACCTGTAATCCTAGCTACTCGGGAGGCTGAGGCAGGAGAATTGCTTGAACCTGGGAGGCAGAAGTTGCAGTG